ATATACATATACGTGGTATATATACATATACATGTATTTAAATCACCCACTTATGAACTGACTATGCGCATAAGGTGAGATCATACGGTAAATTTTCCCTCAAAAAAGGAAATAAGGTCATCTATACAAACTATAATGTGTGCATTCTATAAGAGGGTATTTCACATTTGGTCCATTATACCACAATCGGCTACTTTACTCAAATAACAAATTAACATTTTGTGTCAAACCTACCCTGAAATAAGGCTTTACATGCATGTAAGGCGGGCGCCAAGTGTCAGATTGTGCACGGTGGGCGGAGTCGGGCAATAATATTACCGCCCTAGGGCGACAAAGACCATTTGTGTTTACCTAACCATAAACCAATAAATATGTGAAATCTAAATATGAAATGACTATTTGTTAATTAATTTAATAAATAATTAAAGCTTTAGTGAATTTTATTGTTTTATTTCCCATATTTTATGGTTAAATTAAAATTAATGATGTTTTTTTAACTTAAAAAGCAATACAAGTTAATTTCTTTTTTAAATAATCAATATTTTATTTATTTATAAATTATGAACAATTTTTATAAATTTTTAATATTTTACTTATTTTACAATTATGAAATTGAATTGGAGCAGCTTTTCTGTTGCTAGCTATATTTATAATAGAATCTGAAGAATTTTCAATTTGCACTTCAGGAAGTTCATTTACATCGGCAACAGTAGCTTCTGAACAATTGTTAGAAATTGTTTCTGTAGATATTTCTTGCTTGTGTCATCGTAGACAAGGTTTTAACTTCTTTTCTTAGCAATTTTATAGGTGGTTCGTGAACCTCTTCAGATGAGGAAGTCAATGTTATGGATTTAGTGACCAAGTTCCCAATATCCCGCTTGCTCCTCAACGAATCCTCTATATAACCTTCCGCAACTCTAAAAAATTGTATATCAACCTTTTTTTTTTCTTTTAAATAAAAGTTACTTTATACAGGTATACCTGTCACTTTTCCAGCCACCCAGCCGTTTGAGCGAAACCATACTGGACCTGGATCCGGCAAATTCAAATATTCTGCTATTTGTTTTGGCATTGCTCCGAACTTATTTTTTCCAATAACTTGCACCGTGCATCTCCCATTTTGATAATTAACAAAAAATCGGTCTGACGACATGTTGGAAGGGGAGGCGTACTCCTTGACAATTTTGCAAAATTTACCCTCAATTATGAAGGAACGTGGAACCTTTGTCTTCGTATCAGGAATTTTAACAAGTAAAATGTCTCCTTGATTTACAACATCTTTTAACCTCACATTTGCGAGCTCATCTCTTCGACATGCGCCACATATTCCGAAAATCAAAGCAACCTGCTTGATAAGATAGTTTTTGGTATTTATGCTATGTTAAAATGTTATTATTTCCTTAGTAGCTAAGTATTTATAATTAGGAGCTTCATTAAGGAATTTTTCGACTTCTTCTGCTTGCAAAATGTTTGACTTTTTCGCTTTCTAGCCCTCCGATACTCTTTTCAAATAAGCAACCAATTTTTTATAATTTTCAATCTGAATGTTTTCTTTTATACTAATGGTAGATTTGAGCATTGAGAAAGTTGCCCAAATCGTAGATGCTTTCCACTTTTGTGATAATTACGATAAGAACATTTTCCGATGTCACTTTCACGTTCTTAGATTTTTTCCATTCACTATAGGTTAAGTACGCCGCTTCGTATTTTCCTTTTGATTTTGCGGGCAATAATGAATCATGTACACCTTTCGCTAGTTCTCTTAATTCCGGGGGCGTACAAGATATATCATAATTGTTATTATCACTAACAATATTTTCCAAATTATTTTTCAGTTCAGTCATTTTTATAACTGTCAAACTCACCGTAGTAATAGTTATTTACCTAACTAGTGCGGAAAGTGCTACTTTTCCGCACGCGACTGCCGTTGAACGAACGACGCGTAGCGGAGTTCGGTCATCAGTAGAGTGCGGAAAAGACACTTTCCGCGCGTGGTAGGTACAATATTTTTTCTACAAGCGCATGAAATAATATGGAAAACATTTTATTTTAACATTGCACCATTGCTTAAATATATTGAATTTTTTTTCGTATCTCGCCCGTGATTTTTCAGGAAGTAATTCTCGTAATTCTCACTTTCACTTTCCATTTTTAAACTCAAAACCTTGACGTTTCAGGACTTAATTAGGTTTAGTATTTTAAAAACCATAGAAACCAATAATGGAAATGCTACTACTCTGCTTAACAATTGCGGGGTTGCGTGCGGAAAGTATTTGCGTGCGGAAAAGTGCTACTTTCCGCACAGTTATGCGTCCGGAAAGTAGCAACTTTCCGCACGCTTGTAGAAAAAATTAGCTGCCTATCAAATTTTTATTTTTTAAATGATTTCTTTATTTTGTAATAGTTATTTGTTTTACAAGTGTTGAAAAGCGACTTTTTCATGCGAGTTTTTAAGTTGCCCACGAGGCCGTTAGGCCGAGTGTGCATTAACACGAGCTTAAAGAAAGCTTTTCTCACAAGTATAACACAATGTTTTTTCTGCGACCCTTTTTATTTTTTATTATTTTTAAATACAAAACAAAATAACCTAAAAACTTTTTTGACAGCTGAATGTCAAACGATGCTTTCCGGTTCTTTTCACACAGACCTGTCACTTTTCACACAGAAATGTCACTTTACATTCGTGTTTTGCCTTGCCAATGAAAAGATTCATTTTCTAAGCAACGATGCCATTATGAAAAGTGACTTTTACATAGTGGTCGTAGAAAAAAGCCTTTTCAACTTCAGGGCAGATTTGACACAAAATAGTATGTGTACCACGGGCAGAAACGTGATTTTGACTCGTGTGATTGCCGCACTCGCATTTTATGCTCGTGCGGCAAACTTCACACTTGTCAAAATCGCTTTCTTTCCGCCCTTGATACACAATGTACTATTTTTAACATTATCATTGTGTGGTCTTTTTATGTATATTGCAATAGTTTAATAAAATAAATTGTTAAACTTTTTGATGCATAGGTACAATATTTTTTTTACCAAGTCTAATTAACTCATACATAGATATTGGCATCATGTATAGATACAGCTATAGCTAAAACCATATACCTATAACTCCTATACGGATAACCGACAATTCATTCAATGTGCAAAAGTTCTTGCCGTAAAAGAAAGATGCCCTTATTTCAATTGTTAAATGGGAACGCATGTGCGCCACGCCCGGTTTTTTAAATTCGCCAAATCAAAAAATTCTTTTCCTTGTCATTTTCTTATAATCTAAAATTTATAACCTCTTTGGTCGAAAACATTGTTTGTATTAATTTAATTTAATGCAGCTAGTGTTTAAAATGAATGGCAAAATCAAAAAAAACTGAATTGGTTAAAGCACAGCATTCCAGCCACAAACTCCTAAGATTTTCATCTTTTGGAAATCTGCAATATAAGTCAATTCATATTTGTACTACTACTTTACAATATTTTTCTTACCTATGCAAGGTAGATGTATTTTCTACTTTACCACAAAGGTAACAATACTTAATTGAAGGCATAGTAATATAAGTTTTATTAATCACAGAGAAGAAATAAAAGAAAAATACACGAGAAGCACGAGCGTAAACACAAAACAATAAACCAAGATGACAGTGCATTGTTGCCAAATTGACCAAGACAGATTATACGTTTTACCATATACCTATTTTATAGGTATATGATTTAAATAAATACAATTAGGCTTATAAAATTATTCAGACAATAAAACAATAACGTTTAAGAAAAATATTTTTTAAATTTTTACCATATTTACCAGTAAAATTTGAATAAAGAAATCCTCTAAAAGACAATATAAAAGAAACAAGGCAAGCTGTAGTATTTTAATAGTGTAGCATGCGCATTGGAAACATTTTACCATTTTAGATAGATACATATACCTGTCTTTTAATAATTGCAAGGGGCGTGGTCAGTCGTTTACCCGCGGGTATAGGAGTTATAGGTATATGGCTAAAACTACCCAGTAAACACCAAACACTCGGCAAACAGTCGGCCTTCGCCCGGCATAGGCGGTTGACCGGCGGTTCGGCTTGCTCCAAGTCGTCCCGCTTATGGCCCTCGTTATGTTAGCCCGGTACCGTTTGGCCATGTTCTAACCAAAGTCGGCCAGAATACGGCATGCCGCTGCAAAATCGTTCGGCTTGCCCTACCGGCCCGCTTAAGGCCGGAATACGGCCTGTCGCGGCATAAGCAATACATCTCACGGCTGCTTACGCAAGCGAGCTAACTATAAATAGCGATTAGTTGCAATATTTAGTTGGAAGTGTGCGTCTGTAATGGCATGGCTGAACATTAATTGTCCCCATCTCCGAGTGTGTTAAACCTATAGGATATACCTATCCAGGACGTCTGAAGGCCTTTTTTGAATTGCCAGGCTGTTGTGGCCGGCACTCGGCCAACTATACACAGCCGACACTTGGCCGAGTAAACATAGCCGACATTCGGCCAGGCGGACATGCCCGGTCTACACGCCGGAACAAATACATTTATCGGGCCGCACGTGGCCGATTCGGAAAAACGTATTCGGGCCGTATGCGGGCCGGCTAGCTTGTGATTACTGGGTAACAGTTCATATTAACTATTGATATAGATGTTAGCCCCAATTGATTATAAACAGTAAAAAATTACAGATAAACATAAACTTACAGATTTTTTGTTACATAGTGTAATTAGTAAAAACAGCCCGGAAGATATTATTATAATTTTATCTATGTAAACTAAAAAGTATTAATAGTGAGGGTATTTTGTAATTTTATTTTAAAAGTAAAGAAATAAAATACAATTATTTATTTAATTTATAATTTTTAAAATCACATGAGCAGGTAATAAAAATAAGTACATAACTTAAGATATAATAATTACACAAAATTAAGACAAAATTAAGTTATTCATATTTATTTTTTTTAAAATTTAATATGAAAATTACTTTTATCATATTTTAAAATGAGCATTATATGCAGGAACACAATATTGCATTTCTTTGATATATACTAAGCTTTAACTTTAAAATCAGTCTTGAAATCAGTCTTTCTGATATTTGCTTTTTATTGCCTATGATTGGTAACTTATAATATTTTTTTAAATATCAAGTTTTCATACAAAAATTTGGTCAATGATTCAAAAATTTAGTTTTAAACATTATAAGACAAGTCAATTAAGGTAATTAGGCATTAAAAAATTTGTACTCTATTATTGCCAAAATCAACCACAGCTATACGACCTTCCGGAGTTAGACCGATACCACTTGGTCTATCCATTTCCCCTGGGTTTTTACCTAATTGCCCTAATTTAAATAAAAAAGATCCATTTCGTTCAAAAACCTGAATACGATTGTTTCTGGAATCTGCTACAATTATTCTACCTTCATCATCGCAAATTAAACCCTGTGGTCTCAAAAACTGTTTAAAACTGGCACCTTCTTGACCTAAAAATTGAGCATTTTGAAAGTTTGCTTCGACAACGACTAAACGATGGTTATTAAAATCTGTTACAATAACTCCTCCTTGAGGTGTAAAAGCAACTCCTCTAGGAGAGTCAAAATGTTTCCACATTTGAGAAGTACCCTCAAAACCATATTTTGTTATATAGGAACCATCGCTATTAAACAGCTGAATTCTATGATTTCGAGTATCCGACACAACAATTTGGTTTAAAGAATTGCAAGCTACATCCCAGGGATAATTAAATTGCCCATTACGAATACCCTTTTCTCCGAATGTATAAGCAAATGTTCCATTGTTTTTAAAAATTTGTATTCGATGGTTATCTTTATCAGCTACGATTATGTCATTGTAAGTATTAACTGCCACTCCAGCCGGGCGATCAAATTGACCAGGTGAACAACCTTGGGATCCAAATTTAAATAAATAAGCACCAGATGTATTAAAAACTTGGATTCGGTTATTGCTGCGATCTGCAACAATAATCTGATTTAATTTATTGCAACAAATACCCCATGGGCGGCATAATTGCCCATCGCCTTCCCCTTCAACACCAAAAGTAAGAGATGGTAATGGACCGGAATCCCTCACTTTAACAATTTTAGAAGCACCAAAAATAGGACGGTTTCTTATATTAACAGTTTGGCCAAAGTCTAAATCATCAGAATAATCCTTAGTTAAAGAGAATATTGAATAATTTGCATTTGGAATGTTGCAGGTAAATGAATTATTTCTAGCCATTGGTCGAATTATTTGTGTGGCAAGATTTGGACTAATGCTACCAAACTGTGAAATTGCACGTAAAAATCCAGACTCTGCAGGAATAAACATTAGGTTATCATCTTCACAAGGGACTAATTCCATGCTAAATGGTCGAATTTGTTTTAATTCGGCTTCAGCTTTTTCGTTTCCAATCATAATATCTAAAGCATTTTGAGACGTCTCAATAGAGTCTGTTAGTAAATCAGATGTACGTGCCAATTTTGCCAATGCTATTCGAAGGCTTTCCTGTTGAGCCATTAGCATTTTTCCCTTATATTGGCGGATTTGGTCCACTTTCTTAAGTAATTCGGCCTCCCTGTCTTCTAACGACGATATTAATCTAAAAAAACATTTTATTATTACAGATATTTTATTTTAATAGAGTGATTTTTCTCGTTTGTTTATTTTAAATTAAATAAACATTGTAAAATATTATTCTACAAAAATTATAAATTAAAATACAACCTTTTAGCTAAATGTGTTTATATTATTATTAAAAGAGCCTTGACACGATCTCGGCAGTACGTTTCAAGATAATATGCCATGGAATGGGCGCTCTCAGAATGTCTTATTAAATATCTACTTCTAATTTCAAAATAAAGCCTCTGTTATTGAAAGTGAATGCCTAACCAAAAGATATTTTCAGCTTAAAGTCGGTTTCATACGCGAAATGCTCATTGCAAAATACGAATACTCGCATTTCGGAACATCTATTTTAAATAGATGCGAACTATTCTAGGGACATTGTTTTCTCACTGGGCGATATTTTTCATGCTATTTTGGGTACTAAAATAGTAAAGTTACTTAAAGTGACTATAAAGGTAAAATAAGAAACATTAATGTACCTCAAAACTCTTTGTCTATTATAAAAACCAAAAAAAAACTTATTTTAACAGTTCGAATAAAACTAAACAAAACAAACACAAAAATACATACGAAATAAACAAAAATGGCGTAGGTAAAATAAGCAATTGCATTAATTTGCATGCGAAACGCATGCGCATCACTCCAAATTAGTGAGATTTTCGCAAAATATTGAATCAATCTCAAGATTGCCGCCCCCTAGATTCAAATCTTGCAAATTCGCAGGATCTGTCGAAACGTCGAAAACAAATTGACCAATGGGGGCATTTTTCGCAATTTGTATTTCGCATCTATATGAAACGGGATTTAAGCGCGAAAAGCGGAAAGATGAGCAAGGGCAAAGGTTGACAAAAAGTTGAATATCTCCGTAGTGACATATGAAGGGCAAACTTTTGAGCATAGCTTAGCTTGGCTTGAACATAGCATAACTTTTGAGTACAGTGTATTTTTTGAATGGGTGTGATTGCGTCATCAATTGCTGAACCAAACAAAGACATTAAAATGTGTAGCTGTCTTTTTTTTCTTTGTAAAAGTTCATCTGAAATTCTAAAACGTATCGGGATCCGCTAAACCAGCAGATGGCGACAGAATTAAACGTAATTTACGACAAACGTCAATCTGATTTCGCGCTCACGCGGCTTGTGCTGAAAAAGGACAGAGCGCGTATAGTTTGTTGTGGCATTGAGCCGAAATTTATCATACAGTAATTTGGCATTAAAGAACAGATTTTGGAAGTTTGACAGGTTTTAAAAAATGTCTTGCAAACGTTTGGACGATAATCAAAAACGTTTTATTATTAATTTAGTGCAATATTTTCAAAGGGAACTGGAGCATAGGGTCCCCTGCTCCCACTAAACTGTGTCCAAGAGGTAAGCTATGTTAGGCTTGTTTCTACTGAGCATGTTTACTTTAGGGTCAACGACATGTGCAATAGTAAAATCACATGCGCAATATGGGGGAAGACGGCTATGGCGACAATAAAGTGCTAGCAATGTAGGGCCAAGCACTGAACCAATGCACGCCAGAAAGTTGGTGTTCAGTAATGAGGCACACCAACAAATTAATTGACGATTGGTTCCAAAAGACAAGGATGGTTGATGACGTGCCAGAACTAGTTATCCACCTCGGAGAAGACAGTTCCGACGAGGATGACTTTTAGTAATTTTGGTTTTCGTTCTCCTATAACATTTTATTTTATTAATTAATGTTTTGTCTTAATTAACTTATAATATATTATATATATGTACATAATATTATGTACAAAAATTGTGTATGTTTATTGTTATTAGTTATACAACTAATAATAATAATATATATAATATAATTTACATTAAAAAAGTTAAAATAAATGCGAACTAATCATTAGAATTATTGTTTAATTGGGTGTAAACTGAGTTGCGTAACTATGAGGTGACATTAGGCAATCAAAAATACACCCACAATAATTGCTTAAACCCCTTCAAAATGATACGCTACTGACTCTAAATTTAGTTTCGGTTTAATTCATACGACCCAATTGATGACGCAATCACACACATTCAAAAAATACACTGTAGGTATACATCTTATTAAACAGGAACGTTTGCCGCATATGACACAAGTTTTTTTTTACAGTGCGAGGAATACATTAAAAATCTTAAGGGTTTATACAAAATTTATGCAACCTTAATTAAATGCTCATTATACAAGGTGTCCCTAAACTTAGTGGCATAAATTTAGGAGAAGATTAAGCAAGTCAAAATAAGACGAAAATCTAAATAAATATTTTTCCTAATTACGTATGTTTAAAAGATACAGGGTGATACACTGTTACTTATCATATCAGTTTTTTAATATAACTTCAACTATGGTAGACTTGGAAAGGTGATATTTTCCTAACAGTCACTTACTACCAAAACACATATCCACACATAATTGACCATATGCAAGGAATGCGGTCGATGTTGCCAATGGTAAAAAAATAAAATTCCCTATTGGGAACATTCAATTTTATTACGTTGGCTGCACTGAAAATTTGAATTTCCCGCACAAACTAAATTAATTTCCATCTTTTTTTTTAATAATAATAAATAATAATAATTCCCCCATTTGAAATTCGCACCTTAATTTATTATACAACATTGGAACTACCTTCTTTATCTCTGGGAACTCCTAGAATGTATGTCAGTTTGTGCGGGAAATTCAAAATTTCAGTGTAGCCAACGTAATAAAATTGAATGTTCCCAATAGGAAATTTTATTTTTTTACCATTGGCAACATCGACCGCATTCCTTGCATATGGTCAATTACAATTGTTCGAGTGAACACAGTGTCGTAGAAACAGGGGTTGCTTAAGCTTATTGTTCCAATACAAACATTGAGGTTAGGTTTTTTTACCATTTGATGCAATTTTTCGATTACTCAGTTCGGCTACTATTAAAAAGGTGTACCTCTCAAACTTTGATAAAATAAACCGTTTCAGAGATATTCGAGATTACAATAATTGTTATATCATTAAAGGACTAAAAGGTATATGATAACAAATTTTTTAATTAAAAAAACTACAATTTTTTTTAATGTGACGGTTAGGGTAAAAGTCCCGAGGCTCATGGAATGCTCTTTTTAGTTTTTTCAATTAAAAAAGAAAATTTGTTATCATATCCCAGTAAACACAATTACGTAAATATGACGTAAATATGACGTCATGTCAAGTCACGCTTACGTAAGATATAGGTCACACTTGAGTCACACAAGAGTCATTATTTCACACTTCCTTACGTCAGACTCTGACGTAATAAATATGACATAAATATGACGTAAACATCTTGATGTAACACTGACATCATATCATTACATAATATTTACGTAATAAATGTGACATAAATATGACCTCAGAATGACGAAGCCCCCTTCCTTATTTTTCATCATGGGGCAAAATAAGTGAATACTGAAACAGCTCACTTGGCTGAATTCAGTTCCCTCTTCCAAATGATAAAAATTGTGGGTTTCGCGGCTCTGGCCTTGCAAAGCAGGCACTGTTTAAGCAGAGGGCCAACAAAGAATTCCAGTGTAAAAGCTAAATTTAATCGTGGGCCACAATTCGTGACTCGTTTATATGCCGAGGTTCGGTTCCTATATCTCAAATTGCAATGCAGCCAGTGTCAACTTATATACTTAACGAATAGTGCCACATAAGCGAGATGTATTATGCAATAAGGGTTGCCCATGATAAGTAGATTTCTATTATATTATAGTAGATGCCTACTTATCATAGGCAACCATTACTGCATATTGTAACTGTTAACAATTAATATATCAATGTTATTTGACAACATTACCCTTATTTGTCTGAAACACAATAACCGGACCATATTATAATATTATTATAAAATTTGTTTATCAATGAAAAATTCTTTAATAGTTTACATATATTTTTAAAAATCTCTTGGTTTCTTAATACTAAATATTCTCAGTATAGGTACTTAAATAATTTCGTTTGTCAATTTCATTTCTTTTATTTATCATTTTTTAAATTTAAAAAATATACTAATACCCACAATATTGTGCAAATACCTATCTATTATTATAGGTATTATAGGTATTATATATATATTAATATATAATTATACCATATTATATAATAATACTAAATTCTTTAAATTTGGTTGTATTATTTATTATAGTTTTATTTTTTGAACCTCTGTATTTGGAAATTGAAATTTTAGTATGTTAAACAAGGCATTAAATATATAGGTACTACCAGAGACAAGGGTACTACTTTTTGACTTAAACCAATTTTGAAAATTTTCTAAAACGGCGTCGTACTGTCAAAAGGCCACATTTTTTTCAATGGGAAATGGAATCATTATCGAAAAGGTATTTATTGCAAGCTGATACTTTATCTAATTTATGAAGCTGATCAAAACCAACTCACAATGGATTTTGAACCAACTACTAATTTGTCAGATTCTTTACAGGGTATGTCAGAAATAAGAACAAAAAAAAATCGCTTTTTATGAGTAGCTATAGCTATAGCTATATATATATATAGCTATAGCTAGGGACAATATTCAACATTTAAAAATTATTTTTATTTAAGAAAAAAAAAAATGACGTCGTACTGCCAAGGACACATTTAAAAAAATTTGTGAGTGAGTGAAATATCATTTCAGGTCTTTTAAAGCGTAACTACTTATTTTTTCGATTGTACAGGGTGGAACAAAAAAAATTCCACTTTCACCAAAAGCGCCATTTTCAAAAATTTTCAAAAAATAATAACAGTAACATACAATACAAAATAACACGTAAATCTTTTGTTGATAATTTTTTACAATTTAAAAAATAAGTAGGTACCTACTTGCAAGTACTTGCAACCATGATTATGAGTACCTAAATGATTTTTCACATGACCATTGAATAAAATGTGTACTTTTGAAAGTACGACGCTATTTTCAAAATTTTTTACGTCATAAAACCATATTTTCATTTAATCGACCA